AGCTACTTGGAAGGCTGAGGCGGAAGGATCACCAGAGCCCAACAGGTCGAGGCCGCGGTGGCAGGGAGCGGCCACTGCACTCCTGTCTGGGCGACAGAGTGAGACTCCAACTCAAAAAAATAAAAAAGAAAGAAAGATAAAGGAAAAAGACATTGTTACGTCAGGAACCTAAGAGACTTGAGGACTACATACAATGTGGCATCTTGGATTAGACTCTGTAACAGAAAAAGGGCATTAGTAGAAAAACTCAGGAAATTCAAATAAAGCCTATCATTGAATTAACTACTTATCAATGTTAATTTCTTTATTTTTTGAGTCGGAGTCTCTTTCACTCTGCTGCCCAGGTTGCAGTGCAGTGGCACACTCACAGCCACCACAGCCTGGACCCGCTGGGCTCAGGCAACCCTTCTGCCTTCCAAGGAGCTGGAACTACAAGCGCGCCACCACACCCAGCTAATGTTTTGATTTATTGTAGAGTCTAAGTCTCACCATGTTGCCCAGGCTAGTCTTGAACCCATGGGCTCAGGCAATCCTCTCACCTCTGTCTCCCAAAGTACGGAAATTACAGGCATGAGCCACCACGCACAGCTCATCAATATATTAATCTCTTAGTTTTGTTAAATGTACCATGATTTGGTAAGATGTTAGCATTAAGAAAGATGGATAATGAGTATATGAGACCTCTCTGTATTGCAACTCTTCTATAACTCTAAAATTATGTTAAAAATACTAAGTTTTCCTAAAAGAAAAAAACTGCAAGACAAGCAGCAGAAAATTTGTAACTTACTATCTTTTGTTTAGTGTATCCCTTTCTCCACTCCAAAGTTAAATACTAGTTAGCTAGATTCGTAATTAAGGAAAAATCTTTGTTTTCATCAAGATGAAAAGATGTTACAATTAATACTAATGCTCATCTGTGAAATTCCTAAAAAGATTAATCTCATATCCTTTGGAGCCCATAAAACAAAGGTGGATACACTCCAGGAAACCCTAAGGGCAAGCTCAGAGAGGTCACAAACATGGGTGTACTTGAGACAGCCTACAGGCTTGCATAAGCAGTGCGTGGGAGGGAGCTAGAAGGACAGGTAGGTGTCACTCTCATACTTTCCAGATTAGAAATCCTTCTAAAATTTTTGAATTCAAGCCAGGCTCAGTGGCTCAGCCTGTAATCCCGCGCCTTTGGGAGGCTGAGGTGAGTGGACTGCCTGAGCCCGCGGGTTCAAGAGCCGCCTGGGCAACTTGGCGAGACCTTATCTCTACAATAAATCAAAAAATTAGCCGGGCGTAGTAGCGCACGCCTGTCGTTCCAGCTACTCGGAAGGCTGAGGTGGAAGATCACCGGAGCCCAGCAGGTCGAGGCTGCGGTGGCCGGGAGCGGCCACTGCACTCCAGCCTGGGCGATAGAGTGAGACTCCAAATAAAATAAAATAAAAAATTTTTTTTTGAATTCAGAAAATAGCTGAATTCAGCCCTTATCAGGTACCATGTACTTTTCCAAATAGTTTAGACAGGGAATTGAGTTTCAAAGCTTCAATCCTCTTTATAGTACAAATATGAGAATACCCACGATGTGTCAAAACTTTTAAAATAAGTAAAGGGATATACAAATACATGATGATGCTATTATATGTCACTTAATAGCCACCAAAAATTACATCCCTACAAAGTAGACATGAGTACCATGCAGGAAGCCAGATTTCTTTCTCTGAATCATCTTTAATCTTTACTTTTTATTAAATACCTGAAATACATCACACATACCAAATAGTCAAGCAATATTACATGACAAATTGGCCATCTGACAGAAGAGGGAATCTATCATTTAAAGTTATCTAATGATCTGATTTACTAAGCCACAGTCTGTGAAATCAAGTTTTTTCTTGTTTTAAATTGCTTTCTGCTTATAAAACAAGGTTCATTCTTTCTGCGTGGACTACTCCTAGCTCTCAATCCTACCACCCGACTTACAATTCAGCCTTCCCAACGGAAGTCAGACAGTGTCCAAGAGAACTTAAAAGTAAATAGCTGACTTTGAGATATAAAAACATAAACCTAGTTAGCCACCACAATGTGAGCATCAATTCCAAGTGAGATTACAGTTGCTGAGTCTAAATTTAACTCCAGGGCTTGGGAGGACAGTCTCGCACTCCAGAGGGTTCTCCCATGTGCTGCTGACAACTGACTCGGGGGGCTGGGGAGAGGGGTTTTCTTTTTCTGACCTACCTGCTCTGACAATTATCCTCCTCTGTGAAGTCAGTAATAGTTTTGTCCAAGGGAGTCAAAGCACAGTTAAATGAAGAATATACAATGCCTATTTGAATGCTGGAAGCTTTAAAAACTGATTTGCTAAGTGTTTAAAGACCAGTGGACAATTTTATTAAACTGACAAACATAAAGAAAAAAGATAAAATTAGTTGTAATCACAAATTTAGGCTTTACATTAAATGTAATCTTTTGACATTGGCCTCATCTGTCATAAGGACCATATACAACTCACAAACCTATAAATATTTAAAACGGCCCTCTGCCCTTTACTTTCCATGCAAATTACGAGAGCAAGTAAAAAAAAAAAAAAAATCCAAAAAATTACAAAAGAAAAACTGCTCTAAGTAGGTCACAAAAAAACTTTACCAAAATCTCCTAATGTTCCCTTAATGGGCCATCAGATGAGAACAACAAACTGCGTGAGAGCTAAAGATCTGCGTATTTTTCTACTTGTTAAGAGGAGGTGCAAACCTTACCACTGAAAGCATCGAACTCCAACAAAACTAACCCATGACTTGGTTGGGAAGTAGGGAGGCCTAAGTTCTTGATAAACAAATGCACAAGTGATCAGCTGGGGTACCAACTGGAGAAATAATTTTCACATTCCTGCCCAACTATAACCACTTGCCTGAGATCAAGAACAGTATTTTTTTTTTTAATATTTGAAGTAGAAACTACCAAAATTTCCCTCAGTAATGCATAAGGTAATTTCATTCTGATAGGTTTTACCTCAAGCAGGAATAAAATTAGCTGGACTCAAACTTAATTCACGGATGTTTTAACAAAACAAGTGGCTCATCTTTAAGTCTTAAGATGCTATCTCAATAGTTAACATTCTCTGAATGCAAATAATTGAAATTGCCACAGAAGAAGAGTTACAAGTAACACAGTGTTGTATTGTTACTTACACAGGCAACACCGACAAAGGTAAGACCTTGTCCAGACAACATTTAGACCCTTTATCTATCTATTGCTACTTTCTGTTAAGAAACATCGGGAAAGTGTTTGATAAACAGAAACACTCCTTTACCAGGATGTGCACTTCTGGCTGCAGAAACTCCTTAAGGACAGATCCTTAAAACTGTTCAAACAAAATATCTAACACAGCAAAACAGACAAAACTCTTATAAAAAGAAAAAAATGCTTTAAAGTCACTCAACTCAAAATTATACCCATCTTGTGGGGGGGGGGGGGCGTAATTCAGAGCAGTCAGTCCCAAAACGACTGCACTTGTGTCTCAAGTAGAGACTTTAGTTAGTAACGTCGAGTTAACGATTTGAACCTGTAACACAGTAACAAGCATCTCATCAAGCCAAGGCGTACCCTGGCTTTAAAATACCCTCAAATATTAACTGGCCCAGAAAAACAGAAACCCAAGTCGTGGAAGGTGAGCAAGGCATCTTCCACGCGTCGGCGCCTACGCAGGAGCCTAGCAGAGAAAACCCCGGACCAGCGCCCTGAACGCAGACCCCCACCCACGAAGACGACCCCGACTGCCCGAGCGCACTCGCCGCCGCAGGGTCGAGGGGGCGCGGTCCCCGGCGCCACCCTCTCCACCCCGCGCGCCTCCCTCGACCCGAGGCCGTGCGCTCCGAGGCTCGTCGCCCTGGACCTCGTGCGAGTCCATCTCCTCCAAAGCCGGCTCCGATGGGGGAAGGAAAAGCAGCGGGAAAAAACGGATCCCGGGTCCGGCCCCGGGGCCTCGCCTCCCACTGGCGGGAACTTCCCCCGGCCGCGGCCGCCCGTCCCGGGAGGGGGGCG